TGTTCCCTGAAAAAATCCGAATACCTAATCATGAATTTGTTTGTTTGTTCTTTAAAGGGGAAGGACGGTGGGGTAATAGCTCATGGCTGCAATCGGAAATCACAAGAATGAATTCATCATCGGTCCAAATGGCACCCAGCTGCTAAGACAGTCACACTCTGAGAGGGCCGAGAGCCGGGAGCAAGTCGGGAAGTTCCCAGGACATGACAGCGGGGGATTCAGACACAGGCTCGTCACACGAGTCGCTTAACCGTCTGTGGGCCCCGAGCCCCCGACTTCAAGGTTCGACGCGTCATCCTTCCCGGCACCAAACCTTCATGTTAGGGATGCAAAGACACTCATGAGAATCGTGGGTTTGTCCTTGACTCACACTTTGGGGACTGGCTGAAATAACAAAACAAAACAAAACAAGGAGACCTTACCCAGGGGTGAAAGGGATTCTGTTAATAGTCAATGGACTTGACATACAAAGTGTATAAAGGGGACACAGCCCACCAGGGTATCCAAATCAGAGGTTTACAACAAGCGACAACCGAAGGGGAATGAGAACCAAGTGGCGTTACCTCCGTGGAGAACAGGAGGTGAGCGCACAGACTGTGTCTGTGTGGAGGGGGTTCTCTAGCGTTGGCCACGGTGGCTTTAGTGGGGAGTTACTGAGAAGGTGGGCCTGTGATGAGGCTCAAGCAGCGCCCTGCGAGGTCAGGGAAGCGCTAAGTTGCAGCTTGTGAGTGGGAAACACTGGGGTAAATCTGGAGGTCACACCGGGGCCATCTGTGCAGGACACCAGAGTCCTCGTGGGGCTCACCAGGGGCTTCCAGGGGGCATTTTTTGGTCCCCGTGTTGTGTTTCCGTCACGAGGACGAGCTGGAGCAAAAGCCAGATCCTTGCCCTCCGATTCAGTTGTCACTTTCAGGAGACACCACCAGCCTTGGTGAGGAGGCTGGTGACAGACTACTGTTTTTCAGCATTTTTAAAAACAGAAGATGGAGTGATGAAGTCAATGAAGTCTGCTTTTCCTTGGATAGAGACCCTTCCTCCCACCCCGATCCCCCTCGGACCATTGCAAAACAGCTCAGCCCAAGGAACGGGGAGAAGACAAATGAGTGAAATAACGCCAGAATTGGCTCTTGCCAGAAAAAACACACTCCGATTGAGTTCATTCGTCCTGTTAATGGCCGCGGCCGCAATTCCCAATTAAGTAATTTTACCAAGTTGTAACCGAAAATAGTGACATTGGCCCCGAAGTTAGTGCTGGATGAAGAGCAGGAGCTTTGAGCAGGAGCACAGGCCCCCCGACCAGGTGCCGGTGTCTGTTTCAGGTCACCCGGCTGAGTGAGGACCTGAGTGGGGGGGATTTTCCACCAGGGTTGAGCCCCTCGTCTGCGTGGGGCGAGGGGGGCAATCCAGATATTCTGGCGGCAGAAACCGTCCCACACGTCGGTTTTGTGAAACTCGATGACTAATGAGAGAAGCAGCCCCGCTCGCGAGTCTCTCTGGGACGGAGACGCTCCCCTCGTTCAGGTGGAATTCATTAACACAGGCATGGCCTTTGCAACATTTCCAGCTCCCTCCCCAAAAGCCTCCGCGCAAGGACCCAGGGCAGCTTGAGCAGCTGAGAGGAGCCGGGCTGGAAATGACTCCACCAGCCCCTGTCCTGCCTCTGTCTTTACATTGCAACAGAAAGACAGAATAATCATCATTCGAAAGGGAAAAAAAAAAGGCAGAACACTCCTGGTTTCCCTACAGTGCACGTGCTTTCGTTACCTTTGGATTGGGTTAAAATAAAAGTGTGCAGGCTCTTAAAAGTCAAGGTCGTAAGATCAGAACTTGCTAATGAAGTCGAGAGTTATCCCGAAGAAATGGGCGCAGGCCCGGGCCCAGGGCTCTGGGCCCCTCGTGACCTGGAAGCCCACTAGAGCTGGCGGGACCCTGCCCGTGCTGGCCGGTCCCTTTATGAGTTTCTGGTTTCAGATAAAAGAGGAGAAAGGGCCCTTAAGAAAGCAAAGGACTGGGGGGGAAAAATCAAACTTCCTTCTCGTAAAGCTAAGGGTCGTCTTCCTGGAGATGATGGATAATGGCGGCTCAGCTTTTTAAAGCTTTTCAGAGAGAGAATGGGCAGGTGGGGGAGGGGAAGGGAATATAAATAAATAGAACAAGGTGAACCTTCTACAAGGACTTCCCTCCAATAACTAACTCTTCCTTTCTTTCTTTCTTTCTTTCTTTCTTTCTTTCTTTCTTTCTTTCTTTCTTTCTTTCTTTCTTTCTCTTTTCTTTCTTCATTCTCTCATCTCTTTCTTTTTCTGAAATCTCAAACCCCATTTCTGGCTTGCATTTGGTAGGATTCCTGCTCTGGCTTTTATTAAAAACAGACTTTATGTGGTCGGAATTCTCCATCTAAAGCTGAACTTGAACAGCGCGCGGATCCTGCCGGTCTGTCTTGCTCTCTCAGGTGCCCCCGCGGGGGGAGGGGCGCTCCCTCCCAAGGCGCCCAGCTGGCCCCAGGTGCCAGGGCTCAGCACACAACGCCTCCCTTCCCGCTTCCACTCTGCACTCTCCTTTCTCTCTCACACTGGAGACTCTTCAAGGCCAGGTCGAGCCAAGTCTGGCTCTAACTTGAGAATATTCTAGAAATTTTGAATAACACAACTGCTGCCCTATAAATTCCCCAGCGCAGACGCATGACACCTGGTGTCCCCTCTCTCCGGCCGGGGCTCCCGCTGCAGCCGCCTTCTGTGAGCGAGCTCAGGAATGCCCAGGGTGACCCCACCCAGCCAAACCCCTCGGTTTAGCATGGCACAGTAGGTCGGAAGGCCACCAGCATGCCAAGCAGCCAGGAGCGAGGGCAGCCAAGCGCGCAGGCAGACGTGCACGTGCACCCGGGGCAGGCAGTGTCCGCTTGCCGGTTCCCCTCGTAGCTCAACAGACAAAATGGCCAAGTCCAGGCCCCTGGACGGGACCCCGCCGCCACCCCCCACACTTCACTTCAGTGGTCTCCAAACCTTCCTGGCACAATGAGAGGCAGTGTCCTGGTCAGTCTGAGGTTCCCAAAAACAACGATTTAGTCTGGCCTGTGGTGAGACTCAGCACTGACATGGATGTTTCCTTACACCGAGGGAGAGTTCTGGAATCCCAGGGCAGGGCTTCTCAAGGGGAGGACGCTCACCCCCTCACTCCCTGCATGGGGCACGTTCAGAGACTTTTTTAGGGGTCACATTACAGGAGTGACGCCTACTGGGAAGAGGCCAGGGTGCTGATAAACCTCCCGAAGTGCATAGGACAACAGCCCCCTATAACCAAAATGTCAGCAGTGTGGAGGCTGAGAATCCCTGATGCTGTGGGTGGGGGTGGGCTCTGCAGGTCAACTTCTGGGGACAGAGCCCAGCTCCCCCGAGGCCTGGGGCACAGCCTTGGACACGGTGCTCAGCCTCTGTGTCTCATCTGCAAAATGGATCATAACCCATCCCATTGGCTTTGTCGTATTAAACAGATGTACCTGCAAAGCTCTGAGGGCACAGCCTAGATCTACTGAAAGCACATTAAACGTCAGCTGTTGTCATTACCACTATTACTAGAAATTTAATTCCATTCCAAATAAACGATAAGCCAGACCTATTGCGTTGAGAGAAAAAGAAAAAGAGGTTTGAGATTGCTACATCCTCTTTGATGGGAACCAAAGTTATGATCATGGTAACGACCACCACAGTGCTCTGCAGTGTAGCGGGCTCTTTGCCAACACCTCTTGGCACGGGAAATGGGCAGCGCCCGTGGAGCTCATGCCGGGCTCCTAGCTAAGGGCGGGCTGGCTCGGAGGTGATGCATCACCCCGTCTGTGGAGAGTGGGTGCGACTCCGCACCTCTGCAATCCCTGCTCCGGCAGCAGCCTCGGTTTGCCAGTTTCAGAGACCCTGACACCCTGAAGATCCAATTAAACGTCAACGCGGGCTTCCTGGGTGAGTGGAGGACACTTCTGCTACATGCCTGGGAAGGTCTTCCTTCATGGGCCATGCAGGTATTTCAGTCCTCTGAACTGAATTTGTAAAGACGAACTTTGTGGACGGGCCAATTTTCTTTCCTTTTCAAATTTCTGTCCTTGATTTTAGAAAACCTAGTTCCTTCTATTGTCAAAAGCTCGAATTATACACATTGCTCATATTTTTATTGTAAATGTACGAAGGTGAGAATCTAGCTTTAACTGTATACAGGGTTCACGTTCCCTTTATTTGCCAGCTATTTTGTTTCACGACTGGGGCTGACGATCTGCTTGTAAACACTACAATGTATCTGAATGTAGTGTTCTGCCTCTCATATGGTCCAGGCTGCACAGCAAGCACGTGTCTATGTAAAATTTCTCTGTGTAGTTTAAAGACATCGCAGACTAATCAGTGGACTTTTATGCTGCATACATTAATGTTAATAATATTGGGTTTAAGGGTCATAGTTCAGAGAGCAGATGGATAATATTCCTTAAAGTCAGTGGTATTTGAGAATTCCTTTGGTAACAGAGAAGGCGAGGCCTTAGCTGGTGATAGGCCCACGACCTTAGGGCACACAGCTTGCCTCCGCCCACGACCTTGGCGCACACAGCTTGCTTTGGCCCATGATCTTGGGGCACACACCTTGCTTGGGCCCACGACCTTGGGGCACACAGCTTGCCTCGGCCCGCCACCTTGGGTTACACAGCTTGCCTGGACCCAGCCACGGCTGTTTCATTTCAAAACTCTCCATCAAATTCCAAAAACAGCTGCCAAAATGCCAATCATCTGGACCCCGTTTTCTTGGGTCCCCTTAGTTTGTGCCAGTTGATAGAGGAGAGGTTTAGACCACATTTTGGTTTTTAAATGGTTAAACGCTCAGCCATTTCCCCAGGTCCCCTCCCAGGTGAAAACTGCTCACGTGGACGATCACACCTTCACAGTTTTCTGTCCCGAGTAACTTTTGTCTGTTGTGCTACGAGACGCGAGCCAACGAGCACCCCCACCGTCTCCCACACACACACTTACCTGGGGACACTGGGCGGCGCCCTGGTGGGCCGGGAGGGGACTTGCGGAGGTGCTCCGAACGCGTCACTGCTGTTGGGGAAGGGAGGCAACGGGCCCGGCCGGAATGGAACGGGGGGCGCCCCTGAGTGGGGTCCCGGGGAGGGGATGGCGGGAGGGGGCCCTCGGCCGGGTGCAGGCCGACCCAGGGCGGCGCTCAGCATCGGTCTCCTTTGGGTGGTGGGGCTCGGAGGGGGCGACCTGAGGAAAGGGACCAGTAGTTTACCTAACTCCTACTTTTCTGTCTGAATTCGCTTTAAAAAATATTTTATCACCTCCTGATGGCTTTTTAAAAATTATTTTTTGACTAAGAAACTCAGATGCCTGTTAGGAATGTCGAAAGCTACAAGGAGGAGGTAAATGGTGAGAAGGAAGTGCCCCCTCTGCCCCTGTACACTCCCCAGAGACAGCGCATAGTGGTTTCTTTTTCATTATATTCTACAGTCATTTCTCTCTATGAATAACCTTTTTTTTGGAGTACGTAAACATTCTACAACTTACTTTTGTTAAGCTTCACACGAACTTGACTACCTTTTCATCTCGGTACTTATAGAACTGCCTTATTCTTTTTAACGACCATGTAATATTCCACTGTAGGGATGTATTATGCTTGTTTCTGATGGGAGTTGGGATGATCTGACCCCATCTCTCACTCCTGAACTTAAATCTACTTGTTCCTCTTTTTTTTTCTAAAGAGGTTTAGGGGAGATCTCCCAGCAAATGCCACTGCCCCAGCCTGGCAGGCCTCAGGGGACGTGGGCCGTCTTCCTACCTCCGGGTGTGCTGTATCCAGGAGTCATCCACAGGCGGCGGGGCGGGGGTGAACGTCGTGGCCGTGTTGATGTCGCTGATGATCACGAGGGCTTCTTTTAGGGCCTGGTACATGCGCAGCATCTCGTCCCGGCGCTGAGCCTGCTCAGCCGACTCCTCCATCAGAGTGTTCTGGTCCTCTGAAGAATATAACTGTGCTAGGAGCTCTGAGTTGATGAAATCTTTCACCTGTCAGGTCACCACAGAAAAGGGAGACGGGACGAATGGGTGATTCAGGGCCTGTGGACAGAGCCACAAATGTCCACTCTGGGACATCCGCATCTGTTCACTCTTATTTTCTTCATCATCTTCCTGATCCTACCCGCCCCGCCCCCCCCCTCGGTGGCTGTTGACACCAAAGGAAACATCACATAGATTTGTTGAAAAGAGGACCCAACCCTGCACCACCAGAGAAGGCCCGTAGCTGTGTCCGTGCGGCCTGAGGCTGCTTGGCTTATGACCAGGGAGGGTGCCAGACGCGGGCAGCAGCACCTTCAACAGGACGCGGTGGTGTCAAGAAACCGCCGTCGTAACACGGGTTGTCCATTCCTTGGTCGTCCCGTCTCTTACCCAGCCTTCACCACTGGGTACTATGGAGACCCCAGGTTCCAGTGTGCTCTCGAAAGTGGAATTACCATCAGTGAGTGAGTATTTATCAAATCCAGAACCTTACATGATTATGCAAGTTCATGTACAAAGAAAGTGATCCGCTCTCTGCTTTCTAGAAGTTTACGGTAGCAGCTACCGAACAGTGGTGAGGATTGGTACCCGCTTCCAGATACGAGGTTGACAGACAGATAAACACAGACTGAAGCATGGACAGTCCATGCGAGGCCCTGAGGGACAGAGCCAACCACCTTTCGTCAAATCTAAGGTGCCCTTGGTTGGAAGACCCCCACTATTTCACGTGCCGCCAGGAAAGAGAAAAGTGGCACCGATGAAACTGTGCCAGAATGCCAGGGCACCGCCGAATGTAACCGGCGCCCTCGTGTCGGGAGCAGTGACTGAGGAGCGAGTGGGAGTGTGGATGGAACAGAGTCCCAGGTACCTGCACAGGTGTCCGGCTCGATTCTCACCACATAGACGACGGAGTGTGACCCAGTTTTGAAGATGAAGAAAGTGATGTTCAGAGAAACAGTCAGCGATTTGCCCAAAGTCACGCATTAAGCCGAACCCCAAATCTTCTCATTTGAAGTCTAGTGCTCTTTCCGTGACCCCCTTACTCACTTCGGGGGCTTAGACGGGACCGTTCATGTTCGAGCATCACTGTGTTAGAGTGGTGTAGCGCGCAGGCTACTTAACGTGAGCCAAGAAAAGATAAACCACTTGGATTTTTCAGTTTCTCTGCTGAATCAAGAGTCACCGGCTGTCCCGAGGAAAGGGCAAAGGCCAGCACCTCGGATTGTTGCCAACTCGGGCGACAGCGGAACACCTGTCCGAGGCCCAGAATCCCCGGGTTGCAGTCACAGCGTCTAACCGCGCAGCTAATCCCACTCATCGGACAGTCCTGTGAATCACGGCTTCCCTGGGAAAGGAAGAAAGGCCCCCTGCACATGTTTTGTGAACCAAGAGCGGTTCGGAGGGGGCGTGGTCTCCTCCGCGGCGCGGTCAGCCAGCTGTCCGGGAGAGCAGAAGGTCTACGTGTGATAGCTGCGAAGGCAGGTTTGCCCAGGTGACCCGGGGCCAGATGCGAAGGCCTCCCAGTGCCAAGGAAAAGGCTTTGGACTTCACCCACTTGGCCGTGGGGAGCTGTGCAGGGCTCCTCAGCAAGGAGGTGAAACAGTAGAGAGACTGAGGAAAACTACCCTGGCCGCGATGGGAAAGATTTGCAAATGGAGATGAATGCAGAGCGTGCGCGAGATGACAAGGGCTCGATGCAGCCAGGTTGCAGCGGCGCAGAAAAGGGAGCCGCAGAAGAAGGACCACGGGAGGCACAGCCCACGGGACGAGGTCGGAGCTGGCGGACGAGGCAGAAGGGAGCAGACCCCTCGCGCACTGAGCTTTGGGTGCGGGGAGAAGAGAAACGCAGAAGTCAAGGAGGAAGCGTGGGATGCAGAGGGGAGACGGTCAGTTGGGCTGAAAGGCGGGTCACTGTGAACACAGTCGCAGTAAGCCAGGGAGTCACGTCCGTCTGCACGAATCTTCCACCGCTGGGCGTGTGTGCACTTGGAGAGACGGGGCAACTCCAAATTCAAAACCAGACAATTTTCCTGGCACTGGCCATCGGTGGGGTTAAGCTCTTTGGACGCTTTACATCTTACTGCAGCATCACTTAGAATCTATTAAACACAATTTAAAAGAAGATCCTTCCAAGAATAGATTTAAAGCAGATCTGAGTTAAGAAGCAACTGTCAAACAAACCACGAAATAAAATAGCCGGGGCTTGCCTCAGCATTCCGATCAAAGGTCTGCCTTGCGTCAACTCTTCCACATCGCAGTGTTACCCACGGAGACTTGCCGACTCCCCGAAAGATTGGGCAACGTCCTGGACGCATCTGAGCCTCACGAGCACGCGAGAAAACGGCAACACGGCCAGAGGTGCGAGACGGTGCGCTTGGGAGTCAGACGGCTCTGAGTCGGAGTTGTGAGGTCAAGGCGCGCTGCTGTCGGGCAAATGACTTAACTCCTTCGAGACTCAGGTCCCGGTGCCGCAAAGCGAGGACAGTGGCAGCTGCCTCAGGAGTCGGGCGAGGATCAGGGCAGAGGATGACTGCAGGCTGCCCCGCGCGGTGCCCAGCCGTCAGCCAGGGCCTCAGGCCGAAGCTGCTCTTCCTGCAGCAGCGGGCACCGCACGGGGCGGCAGGAGGGCAGGGGACAGCCGCCGCCGGGCACCAAGAGTCGGGCGAGGATCAGGGCAGAGGATGACTGCAGGCTGCCCCGCGCGGTGCCCAGCCGTCAGCCAGGGCCCACAGGCCGAAGCTGCTCTTCCTGCAGCAGCGGGCACCGCACGGGGTGGCAGGAGGGCAGGGGACAGCCGCCGCCGGGCACCAAGAGGCAGAGTTCAATCCGGTGCATAGGTGGACATTTTATCTTGCACTTCAGTGAAATTTTAGAAAGACTGTCCTCTTCCTGTCCTGCCAGTTGTGGGAGAGAGGTGAGGACCTCGGGGAGTTTCCAGACACTTCGGGGACTTTCTGAGTCTGAATGTCACTGGGACACGCACTGAAATCAGGGGCAAGGTCCCTTTCAGAGGGTGGCGTGTCGAAAGCACCCTCGGGGAACGGGACACCCCCGGAGTCTCCTGGGATGTAAAGTAGGGTTTATGTTTTGCATGATCACACCTCGGAGCCTACACATCTCTGTGTGGTCCACACACCAAGCCCTCCCACGCGGAAACCTCGTTCCCGCGCCCGAGCTCCGCGGGTTGGAAAAACAGGCGGCCCGGGCCCCGCTGGAGAGGAACGCGAGGTCATTACCACGCTCGCGTGGCCCCTCTCACTTTAACCCTTCCCTGGCAGCCTGCAGTAGTTGGGATCGGAACCCTTCTTTGTCTTCCTCACCGAGGCCATTTTAAAGCCTTCACGACTGGAAGAGACATTTCTAGAGTTTTTGTCCAGTGCAGGTACTGAGGAGCCCGTCTCCTGAAAATCCCTTCGCTTCTAGACGCAGGGCCGGCGTGGGGAGCACGGGCCGGGCCCGCATCCACACAAGGGCACGTACTCTGAGGGGCTCAAAGATGCTTAGCTTTGGAGAGAATGTCGTGAATCTCGAGCCTCACGCGACTCTCTTTTCTCCAGCTCTCGGGGTTTGGTTTGGCTGGAGACCAACAAAGTTTTCCTTCTTTAGAAAGCCACATCCTTGGACTCACGCACACAACGTTGTGTAAAAACATCAGACGCAGCCCTGGCCTGTGGGGCTCAGTGGTTAGAGCGTCAGCCAGCGCACCGAGGGGGCTTGGGTTCGATTCCCAGCCTAGGGCACACCTGGGTTGCAGGTTCAATCTCGCCCCGGTCAGGATCGTGCAGGAGGCAACCAATCTCTCTCTCTCTCTCTCTTTTTCTCTCTCTCTCCGCCCCTTCCACTCTCTCTAAAAATCAATGGCAAAAATATCCTCCCGTGAGGATTAACAAAAGACAAACGAAAAGAAATAGACACAAAAAGGCTGTGAGATCCCAAAGTTCAAGAACAGGCAGAGTCTGTGGTGTAAGAAGCCAGGGGCGGTACCCTTGGTGAGGGTTTGGGGGGTCGGCGAGCAGGGGTGGGGGGCTCCTAGGTCCTGGTCGCGATCTCTCTCTGCAGAAGGATGCTGAGTTCTTGACCATGGACACAGTCAGTGCTCTGACATTCCAGGTGCACGTTCCTCTCGCCCGATGAGCATTTACAGTACCACTCGACTCCGTGGCCATTCATGTCACAGTCAGCTTAGGAACAAGGGCACGTGTCACTGATTTCCCACGGAAGTGCCGGGGCCCAGGAGAGGGGCTGTGGGCCTCCAGGGGTCCAGGAGCATAGGCCGAAGCACAGGGTCCAAGGGGGAAAGGCCTTGGGTCCCACATTTGGTTCTTTGAAAGTTTCATAAAACCTTCACGTCCTATTTTGCATTGTCTGGGCTTGTTAACATACAAGGAACAATGTTATAAATGATTTCGGCTTGAAAAAACTGCTTCTCATATTTCAACAAACCCTCATGAAACCTTCGTGTCCCGTGCACCTCTGGGAAGAGACCCCGTGTAGAAGCCATGGGGAGAGGAGCCCCCTACTTTGCAGAGGGTGACTTCGTGGTTTTCCTAACCTCACCATATGCGTTTCCCGACGTTGACGTGGAGAGAAGGTCCGACTGAGGGAGCTCTGGACTTCCATCTTGGCCCGGGCTGCCCCAGCGGGGTGGCCTTGAGCAAGCCAGGTCGCCTCTCCGAGCCTCCAGTTCATCGTCTATAACCGGACAACACTGCGAGTGCCGTGGTCACTCTGCCACACACATTTGCAGAGTAGAGCTGGGTCCGCTGTCTGGATTCTCTGGGGGGAACCCTCTGTTGGGGGAGCTCCAGAGAAGGGGCCGTCCACGCGCACTGGCCGTGGGGTGCTCCATGGGCGCTCGCTTCAGCGCCTGAGCGCAGCCTGTCCGGAGTGACCGCCTGTCACCAACTTGCCCTTCCTTTGTGTCCCGTTACCTGGAATGTTTAAGCAGAGCAGCAGCTGCTGCGTTTCGACAGACAAAGGCTTACAGTGTGTCTGGGGCGAGGCATTCATTGCTGGCTTTCAACTGCTTAAACAATTCCATATGGGGACTTGAGTGGCGGACGCTTAATGTAAACTTTCAAAGGAAACTGCCCACCACACTCCGCGCCTCAGGAAACTTGGCTGAAACGCATTCTTTCTCGGGAGGCAGAGCCGCTGTGCCCGTTCCAGGGGCGACAGGCCGCGGCGCGGCCACGGGGGGACGTCCGCGAAGAGGGGACCGGCTGGAGGCCACCCCGGGTTCTGCAGGACCACTCGCTGCGCTACCCAGAGCCGTTCAGAGAGGCCGCAGGGCTGGGTGGGGGGGGACCGCGAATGAGGAGCCAGGGTGCTTCTTTTCCAGTCGTGATGCTTTGAGTAGTTCTCTCCACTGACGCTCTCTGCACTTCAGGTCAAATAAAAACCATCAACACGCGCATGACCCAGCGCTCGGTGTTCACCACGGTGCTGTGCCCGCCGGGGCGCTTCTAGAGCGAACCAAAGGGCTGAGACGTCTGGACAGTACGCTGCCACGAGGGTGTGGGTCCATTTAAAAAGGGGGTTTGCTTTATTTTATTTATCAGCGAGCAAAATACATCCAGAATCATGGAAGCAGGGAACAGACCGAAGAACCTCAGAGGGAAGGGGGTGGGGGGCCGGAAGAGATGAACCAAAGACCTTGTGTGCACATATGCACAGCCAATGCTTGGGGGCAGGAACAGGGAACAGGGGATCAGTTGGGGAAAAGAAGGAGGCATCTGTAATACTTTCAGCATAGATTTTAAACAGGAGAATTTATATTTTTCCATGTATAGAATTATGTAATTAAAAAATATATAAATGACACATTTTTACATATATAGTAAGAAAGCAGATAAAATAATTTGAAGAAAGCAGGCATCCTAGATATGAAAACTGTTTCCTGAGAGGTACGAAAAGTTGCATTTCAAACAGAGAGAATTGTCTCTTCTTGGGAATGCAGTGTTCTGTGATGGGTTGGCTTTTTCCATATTCCCATTCGCCTCTGCCGCCAGCGTTGGGGCTAGAGGTCTTATCTGCAGTCCTGACTCAGGCGACTTCCCCGCGATTCTTAGGCGAGGACCCCCGACACCCAGCGGGGCCTCTGTCCCTGGCCGCAGCCGGCAGGTGGGCTGGCCGGCCCCTTGCAGGAGCCCGCTCACCGGGAGGAGCCAGGCCGGGTAGTGCCTGAGTCTCTCTGAGCCTGTGCGTGTGTTTTCCTTGAGAAGGTGAAAGTGGAACCAATTTGCAAGGGGGTCTTTTCCCTCCTTGTCACTAATTGGCGCTCAGCGAGGCCTCGCAGCTCGGGCCAGGAAGCGCTGTTTCCTGTGTGGATGATTGAAGACAGCGCAGACGGGTGGCTCGGAGGCCGCGGCGGCCCTAATGACTCCCGGCAAAGCAGGGGAAAGATAAATGATCCTCAATCAGGCAAATGTTTAAACAAGCACCGGCCCGGCTATACCATGGCCAAACAACCCGGCCTCGTCCAAGCCGAGTTAAGAGGGCAATTTTAAAAATACACAGACTATTTGTTTAGTACTTTATATTTTTCAAAATGGCATACGGTCCCATTCATTAGGTTCCCTGACAATCCCGCGAGGCCCCTCGGGGTCCTCACTGCGGGTGGAGAAGAGGCCTCGGCGCAGACGGGCCAAATGGCTTCCACCAGGGCCCACAGCAGGCCCCTGGCTAGCCGAAGGGCGCCTTCAGAGCTTCCCCACTCCTGAGACTTCAAAGCACCCCACTAACCTCGTTTGAACACGCGAAGTGTGTATGAAGATGGAGTTGAAAACCATTTCTTTCTTTTATCTTCACCCGAGAATATTTTTTCCATTTATCATCAGATAGAGTGGGAAGGAGGGAGGGAGAGAGAGAGAGACATCGATGCGAGAGAGACACATCCACTGGTTGCCTCCCACACGACCCAGCCAGGGCCGGGGACGAACCGCAACTGAGGTGCCCTTGACTGGAATCGAACCCGTGACTCATTGGTCCGCGGGCCGACGCTCTAACTGCTGAGCCGAACCGGCTGAAAATGATTTCTAACAGGAGTGCTTGGGGCTTCTGACACAGATCACGGACAGCGAATGAGCTGTCGTACTTAGAAAATGATTCTGAAAGGAATTTGAAGTATGGATAAAGGCTGTGATGGTTCTTCAATAGGCAGCCGTCTTTGTTTCTTACGATTATCTTCTTCGTGGTACTTCCATAGACATTATCTTCTGGAGTAAGTCCCTCAGCCACGGACGCTTCACACGTGGAGGAGGCAGACACGAAGCTCAGCGATGTGTCCCTGGCCAGCAGTGTCCCCAGCAGAACCAGGTTCAGGATCCAGCTTCCTCCTGAATTTGAGCGTGGGGTTCTTCTCAGGACTTTGCCATCCAATTTTCACTTGTTACAAGTAAGTGCTCAGAACTGATCAGGGGTTTCAATGCAAGGATGTCCTTGGACGATAAGTAGGAATAAAACAGTCGTCCCGCTTTTCAAGACACAGGAGAGCCTGCTATGAAACACCCCATCAGAGCCTCTCATCTACATGTAACTCCTCGAATAACTCGGGATATTATCTGTACTTGAAATAAGTAGCTACCGAGAGAACCAACCCGGACCGTGTAATGAAGCCTCCTAGCGAGGCCGCTGTGATGATGACCATGGAGAGGGAGAGATGCTAGGGGCATGGGTCACCAGATGGCCCGTCTAGCAGGACCCTTGGGGAGCTGTGGCTGTATCCTCCTGACCTTAGAAAAGGACTGTGGACTGACTCTGCATCCAAGAGGACAGGACACGAAGCCCTTTGACAGGGGACAGAGCAGCGCATAGGTTTTAGCAGGTGAAAACGGTCATACTCGCATATTGTGTGTGTGTGTGTGTGTGTGTGTGTGTGCGCGCGCGCATAGGTATATCTACTAAAAAATGTGTGTATATATATATCTTTTGTCTTTCATCTCGAAGTCTAGGAGCCAGGGCATCAGGTTTGATTGCTGGCTTCACAATTCGTTTCTACCCCGACCACAGTGATACTCTGCTTTCTTTTTTTTTTTTTTTTATCCTCACCCGAGGACATTTTTCCATTTTTTGTACAGATAGAGTGGGAGGGAGAGAGAGGAAGAGACAGAGAGAGAGAAACATCGATGTGAAAGGAACACATCGAGTGGCTGCCACCGCACGACCAACCAGGGCCGGGGACAAACTGTAACCGAGGTACGTGCCCTTAGCAGGAACCGAACCCGGGTCTCTCCAGACCGCAGGCCGACGCTCTAACCGCTGAGCCAAACCGGCCAGGGCTGCTCTGCTTTCTTGTGAGCCAATCCGCACCCTTCTGGAGAAGTCAGCCACAGGGACCACGGCGGTGCCAGAGCGGGGGCTTCACGCTTTCTTCCCTAGGCCCCCTTCCACCGGGCAGCCACTTACCGCCCGTCATAGAGAACGATGAACCAGCTAATAGGTGTTTCAACCCCCAGAAACCCTTGCAAGGCGACTGAAGGGAATGTGAGCCGCCCCCACAGCGGGAAGGGCGCCAAGTTCAAGTCGAAGGGTTTACATCCACTTACATTATTGACCATCAGGTGCATTATTGTCTTGGGAATCAGGTCTCGGATGCATTTGTTGATGATCGACATGTAGGAGTCCACGAGGTTGCGGATGGTCTCCACCTGCCGCTCCAGCTGGGGGTCCATGGAGAAGTTTTCTGCTTGGCCATTCTCATCATTTTCATTCTGCCAGAAAGGAGTGGAAACGTGGGTTATTTCACACTCCTTCAGAAGAAAGGAGAGCGCCAGACACGATCAGGTGATCGACGTCTATTTACTGTATTTGGAGGTGCGTGACCAGCTGGTACCATCTTTACAGCGCAGCTGTTAATTCTGAGAAGAGATCAGAACCACACAGTTATTAGTCCTCCCGTACCTGTGACAGTCTAGGAGAAGCAGGTAATGTAATTCTGAATGAAAGCTGAGATAAATAACCAGATACACAGCACACCTCACAACGTTCCTCTAGAGACCAATCTAACCGTAAGCCATTTGCAAGCTGGCTCAGGGACGGAATCCAAACATGTGTGCAGATGTAAACTTCTGGGAGGGGCCCCCGAGGATTCTGGAGATTAGAAATAACCTTGGTGTTTTTTGGAACTAACCCCCAGGTCTCTCTGAATTGGATCAGCCCGGATTTCAAACTAAATCTCCTAGGCCTGGCCTGGACCCAGAATAAGAGATATAGAGGATAATTCATTTTTTCATGCACTCGCTGGAATTCGTTATGTAAATTCATGCCTCTGTCATCACTACCAAAGGCTGGCTCCGTTGTGAAAAACTCACAATTTTAACTTCTAACTTGTTACTCTTTGGATAAAACAGAACACGTCTATACTCAAAGAATTTATTTGTGCAACAGGAGAGAGGCATCTGTTTTCTATACTGTGGGACTTGAGCTAATTAATTTTGGCTTCTCCACCAGAGGCTGGGCTGGAATGGCATCTTCGTCATTAAACGCTGACCTATTGGCTTGGCATTGAAATCAATTTAGAACAAATGGTCTCCATTTCAAGTCAGGTTGAACCAGCTAAACCCCAGAACATGATACAAATATTGTTCGTGGTCTGGCTACTTTCTAGCATTTGGAAAGATTTAATTACGAATGCAAAAAAAAAAAAAGGGGGTGGGGATAATTTATTGCTTCCAATGTGAACATGAAATACTTCTCCTTGGAAATGTACATACTTTGATCTGCCAGGCTTTCAATCATCCAATCAGTTCTAGAGAAAGCACTGTGCTAAATGCCTTACATGAGTTTATACATGACAAGCTTTGCCTTTGAACCAATATGCATATGTGAAGGCCACGAAATCAACAACAAAGATAGAAACTGGTCCTAACCATTTCTGTAGGCTCCTCTCACTCAGAAGTATCCGACACATTTTAAACAGATTATAATATGTGCTCACTCTACAACACAACAGTCCGTTTCCAGTCCTGAGACTAGGGCCCCAGGCTGCAAGGACACTTCAAGGACATTGCCGGGCATCTCACTGCTACCACAGCAAGGTGGAAGACTGGGCGTTTCAGCAATGACCGTTGTTCCGATGACATTTCTCTTTAAATGGTCTTTGGCCACTGAAAGAATTAAATCAAGTCTTATGTATTTCTTCACGCATTCATCTGTGATATAAGCACAACTGGATCTGGGATAAATAGGTGGAAAGGCCTTGGAGTGGTCGAGTGAGGGAGGAAAGGTCTGTCATGGCATTGACAAAGGCCACTCACGTTCCCAAACTTCTTCCCAGAGCAAACACACACACACACACACACACACACACACACACACACCAACAACAACAAACCCCAAACCCACTGCAGATGTGCCCCACGCTGAGCCCACATCCTAAGAATCAGTGGTCACTGAGATGTGGTTTTGAGGGTACTGCATTTGAAGCGAACACCTGAGGTTCACATTAGGCTCTATCACCTACTGGTTGTGTGGCCACACTTCAGTTCCTTAATGTGACCGGGACTCAGCTTCTCCGTCTTGAAAATGGGGACACAACTCCCTGGAAAACTTTCGCAGCTAAACGAGATAACACGCACGCTATGACCTTGCCAAGGGCATTGGGGGTGCTCAGTCAATGTTAGTCGCCCCCTTTCCTCTCTGAGTAGTCAGGGGATAAGAGCTACTTGACTCTCAACACGCACTTGGGAATTTTAAGGTAGAAATGTAAGCATAAAACATTTTCAGTTCCAGCCATAGAAAGATGGCAAACGGTGTATTTTTTTATATAAGTTTTCTGCAAGTTGGTCCGCTTGGGATCCCCTCCTCCCACCGGTGAGGACTTTACATCTTTCAAAGCCCTGGTCCACCCCTTCTAAAAAAGCTCCTGATGACCCTCAGACCCCCACCACTCCCCACTCTGTCCTTCATCTGTGTCTTGTGCTCACTTTTATCACTTACTATGCAGCCTAGTCCTGCGCTCCCCCATTAGTCTCTGGGGTCCTGTTTATCTCCCCCTTCCCGGACCTCGATGCATGGGGAAGGAGGGGGCGCAGGACAGGATTTCCCTAAACCAAGGGTGCCGTCCAATGCATTTCAGTGTCTAGAGTGTCTACTCGTTAGAGAAGCTGGAGCCCAGGGAAACCCCAAGTGGATGAGTTCGGATCCCCTACTACTTGATAATAGTAAGGATGACACAGTGATCATGAAATTCTGAATCTACATGAGAACAGTGACCTACAGCTTTGGGAGGAAACGCCTTTTACGTAAAGCAGTAGAAATGTCCATAATGGGTATAAGTCACCTCTCGTCTGAAACATGTTGGGGTTTTGCTGTTGTACTTAGCAGTCGGGGGTGGTGGCACTTCAGCATCAACACGCTCCCTTTCTCAGAAACATTTCTCTTGTTTTAGGAACTGTGCCAAGCACCCTACACGGAAGCTCCGCATCACAACCTCGGGAGGAGGGCACCACTTTGTCCACCGACAGAAGGACACGTCGCGGCTCCGAGAATCGATTTCTCTAAGGAACGTAGGATGAAGGCAATGTTAAACCAATTTCTATCTTCTTTAGGTAAAAAAAGAAAAAAAAATCAAGAAGCATTACAAAACAGTGCAATATCCATAATGTACCCGGTCAGTTTTGTGTCGATAAAATAATAAATGTAAAATGCATTTCTAGAGAACAAGACATTACTGAAATACTGGCCTCTGTAAAAAATAAATAAATAAATGATTGAGCCCAAATAGAAAAGCAGAAGAACTAGTCTTTATAAAGGAACCTCTCGGAGCATGAGACACCAGGAACATTACATCACCGCCCACGGTTTCATGTAGGTACACTGAATTTCCCCGTTCCTCGCCATGCTCAGCCTGTGGCCTCGCTGTACATGTTGCATACCCAAACATGCAAAACACCCTCACTTTCATTTTTGGAAACCAGATGCAATTAAGTGAGGTGTGAGAGTAAGTGGAGAACACCGAACAGTGTAATTCTCCACACCTGGGACCAAGGACGCGGTCCGGAATGACCAACGAAACCATCTGCAATTCCCTTCAGCTCTTGGAGACACTGACAGACATGTGGTCACAGGCAGATCGTAACTGTTCCAACAACAGCAGGGACAGGATGGGGAGTCACGGAGTTCAGAAGGCACATTTCACGTCTGTTCCGCCTGTAGAAACAGAGGGGTACCCGTCGCCCCTGCTAGTGGGTCTGAGATGAGTGGGGAAAACGGACGGAGACGGGGTTCTCCTTCTAACCGAGTAACTGCAGAGAGCAGACGCCTGCTTTCCTCTAAGCCCCGCTCTAACCCAGTGCGCGCTCTGTTCCGCACGCTGTGTGTGACTGTACTTTTTCTTTGTTTAAATTATAGGATTGCAGCAGGATTCTTTGCAGTCGGAGCTCCGACGTGACAGCTGTTCAGCATTATCCTCATCAAGAGAATGTAAAATAAAAATAGTAATTTGTCTCTGATCTTTGAGGCAAAAAAGAATGGTCTGCAAACATTTAACCTTTTATGAGCAGGTTCATTGAAGTTGTTTACAAAATGTGAATAATATTGTGAAAACCAGCTTTCTTCTGAAAAAAAAAAAAATACAGTGGGTAGGCCTTCCTATTGCATTTTTTTCCTAATAGTTTTTGAGAAGCCTAATGCAATTAAAAAAATTAAAAAAAAAAAAAAACAACTCAGCCCTGTCAATGTGAAATTGTTTCTGAAAATCGACGCCCTAACTTTCCTACGGAACTGTGTGCACAGCATTTAAAAGCAGGCTGTTTTACGGAATTCTAACAGATGAGCTTTCTCCGAAACACGGATACTTTAGGCGGTGAAGGACGACCGAACCAGTCGAATTAGAGAAATCCAGCCACCTTAAAGCAGTGGTTCTCAACCTGGGGGTTGCGACCCCTTTGGGGGTCGAACGACCCTTTCACAGGGACCGCCTAAGACATAACAGGAGCAAAATTACAGTTACAAAGTAGCAACGAAAACAATTTTACGGCTGGGGGTCACCACAACGTGAGGACCTGTGTCAAAGGGTCGCGGTGTCAGGAGGGTTAAGAACCACTGCCTTAGAGCATCCGTCCCAGCAGTTCTGGGCTGGACCGGGACCCCTGTTCCTCGGGTGCTGTTTGGTTATTGTTCTTAAATCCCTCATCTAATTACGCCAGAGGCTTCTTGGAGAATCACTGAAACCGTCCAATAAGGCTGGTGACTGCAACTCTTGCAAAGGGGAACAAGAGAAATCCGAAGCACCCCAGCAGCAGTGTGTACCTAAACCCCCTGCAGAGCTAATGGGGCTTTGTGGTCTCGTCTCACCAGGGGGCAGCGCCGGATGGTCACCCACAGGCAGAGTGATTTTCAGAGGCCCACGCTGGCCCCCTTTCAAGCCTCTCGTTCTTGTTATGCCATGCTCCACCACCTTAAACACAGAGTAAAAATATCATTTAACCTTTTGGTGGTGAATTAGGCCATCATTATGAAAAGACTGTTTCCATGGTGACACAGCTTTGTATTTTCCAAGCCTCCCATGACAGAGAATGTTTTCACTGCGTTTTCTCCACACCCACCTCTGATGTCAGAGGCTAGAAGGGCAGGCGACCAAACCTGTAAAAGACCATGGCAGGAACATGCCGCAGAAAGACCCCGAGGGGATTCTGGCGTGGTCTGCATCTCTGGGACAGGTATTTCATTCATTCAAACAGGGAGTCCTTATCCAGTGTCTTGGGGCGCT